TCCTACAGATTTAAATGCTCTCCATGTCATTCTACTTTGATCCATTCTCTCTAAATGACTAAACCACCTCAACAACCCTCTTCAACCCTCTGACTAATACTTTTATTAACTCCACACCTTCTCCTAATTTCCACACTCCGAATTTTCTGCATAATATTTACACCACACATTGCCCTTAGACAGGACATCTCCACTGCCTCCTTGCTGCTGCATTCACAACCCAAGCTTCACACCCATATAATAGTGTTGGTACTACTATACTTTCATACATTCCCTTCTTTGCTTCTATAGATAACGTTTTTTGACTCCACATATACCTCAGCGCACCACTCACCTTTTTTCCCTCGTCAATTCTATGATTAACCTCATCCTTCATAAATCCATCTGCTGACACGTCAACTCCCAAGTATCTGAAAACATTCACTTCTTCCATACTCCTCCTCTCCAATTTGATATCCAATTTTTCTTTATCTAAATCATTTGATACCCTCATCACCTTACTCTTTTCTATGTTCACTTTCAACTTTCTACCTTTACACACACACCCAATGTAAACACTTGATCTACACATCCCCTACCCACTCTGAAACCTCCTTGCTCATCCGCAATCCTACATTCTGTCTTACCTCGAATTCTTTCAATAATAACCCTACCGTACACTTTTCCTGGTATACTCAGTAAACTTATTCCTCTATAATTTTTACAATCTCTTTTGTCCCCCTTCCCTTTATATAAAGGGACTATACATGCTCTCTGCCAATCCCTAGGTACTTTCCCCTCTTTTATACATTTATTAAACAAAAGTACCAACCACTCCAACACTATATTCCCCCCTGTTTTTAACATTTCTGTCATGATCCCATCAGTTCCAGCTGCTTTACCCCCTTTCATTCTACGTAATGCCTCATGTACCTCCCCCACACTTACATTCTGCTCTTCTTCACTCCTAAAAGATGGTATGTAAATCTATATTTAATCTTTAAAAAAAAAAAAATTTTTTGTTAATACTTTTGGGTGTCTGAAACAGATTAATTGGATTTCCATTATTTCTTATGGGATATATGGTTTTGCCATTTGTGAATTTCGCCATTCAGCAGACTCTCTGGAACAGATTAATCACGAAACTCAGGTTTACGATATTATTTCATTCCAGAAGTATGTGCAGGTGCCAGTACTGAACGAATTTATTCCCATAAGGAATATTGTGAATTAGATTAGTCCATTTCAGACCCCCAAACATACACGTACAAACACACTTACATAAATACACTTACATAATTGGTCGCATTGGGAGCTGATCGTAAAGCGAGGGTCCACTGTATAATATAGGTAATAACTAACCCCTTAACTGTCCAAATGTAGATCTACATTCTCTCGCCCAGCACTCCAAATATTTTTGGGGGGGAAAAAAGGGGGGGGGGGCAATTCTCTGTCTGTAATAAGACCAAAAAAAAATAATTTTTTTTTTAGGGTCAGTACTTACCGAGATATAAGGCCACAAAGTTGGCACTGGATGCTCACCTAATGGCAACATGGAGTCCTGCTGCTTGCAAAAGTGTTGCTGATATACCTTTATCTTTTTTTTTATTTATATAATTTTTATGTTCTGATAATTACAATTTGTAGTGGTTCTTGTTATTTCATAGCCTATCTTTATTCTGACACTAATATTAGGTACTGAAATAGTACTCAGTCACAAACACACTGACAGGTGAACATTTTCACCTGCCTTGGTCACATACTTTTGTCTAGAAATATATACATAGTATTTATAGGTTTCAGCAATATTTTAGACATGCTGTAGTGCATATAAAACTCCTTGAAGCATGGTGTAAGACAAGTGTCACTCCACTGCTGACAGTGCAGCAGTTGATGATTGTGCACTACCTTGGCTTTATTTGTTTTCACTATTACACACAAACATGTCTGTATCTTTGTCTGTGTATCTGTCTGTCTAGCTCTGTCTATCTCTGTCTCTCTGTCTGCTTGTCTCTGTCTCAGAGAGAGAGAGAGCTGTTCATGAACCAACAGGTATTACACACAATGCAGAGTCGTCACGTCTGATTCATGAACAAGTGAAAATGCGTATTACTTGCCAGTCATGCTTATTCTGCCTTACATCTACAAGTACAGTGTAGCACTTTGTCTGGATTTTTCTGGGTTATCCTAGGTAATTTACACTGTATAATTTATATTTATGTGTACCTGTGAGATAAAGACAGAATTACAAAGATAGAGACAGCCAAAGTCAATCAGACACCCAACTAGCCAAACATGTATTACACATATTCCTTAATCACTTCTCTTTACTTAGGGCATAGGTTATAGGACATTCTGGCAGGATGACACTACCAGTGGTATCAAAATTGAAAGGATGTTGCACATGGGTTATTATCGAGGTTTTTGATACTCTCCACCACTTGTGGCTACATCCATCTCAAAGCCACTAAACTCAGGGTCAACATCACTTTCTTCTTAACCCTTTGAGGGTTTTCGTCGTACTAGTACGTTTTACGCATAGGGGTTTTTGACGTACTAGTACTCATAAATTCTAGCGGCCTCAAATCTAGTGGGAGAAAGCTGGTAGGCCTTCATATGAAAGAATGGGTCTATGTGGTCAGTGTGCACAGTCTAAAAAAAATCCTGCAGCACACAGTGCATAATGAAAAAAAAAACTTTGACCATTTTTTTTTAATAAATCAGCGACTTTGCAGTGTATTTTCGTATGGTATTTATTGTTGTATTCTAGTTTTCTTGGTCTCATTTTATAGAATGGAAGACATATTACAGAAATTGAGATGATTTTGACTGGTTTTACAAAGAAAGGTGCCTTGAAATTGAGCTCAAAGTAGCAGAAATGTTCGATTTTTACCAAACTTCAAAAGTAAACAAATCGTGCCAAGCGTGCAATACACGTCAACTGGTGAGTCTAATATTCTTTCACAAGTGCACCAATAATATTTATACCATTTTTTACACTAATGCAGTAGTCTGCATAACAGTAAATCTTATATTTTTTGTGAAAATAAAAATTCAAAGTGGAAAGCAAAAGAATATAAGAGGGGACTTGAGACATGACTAATGACTAGAGGAAATGTCATTTTAGTGCCAGGAATGTCTTTCTTGTTTATTCTGGACTCTATTCCGAAATTGGCATCTTTTGAAATTTGTGTGAAATTGGCAAAATTGCTAAATTCTGACCACTGTACTGGATAGTTGAATTTCATAAATGAGTGGTTTCTTGCATCCATTCGATAGAAAAAATGGAGTTCTAGCGAAATATTCATGTTTTTTGTCGACTAGTACAGTGAAATTGGCCGAAAATGGGGCTCAAAGTGGGCAAAATCGCCGATGCGTAAACATCGCCGAGACCGCTAACTTTGCGAGAGCATAATTCCGTAAGTTTTCTATCAAATTTCAAACTTTTGGTGTCTTTATGATCGGGAAAAGATTCTCTATCTTTTCATAAGAGAAAATAATTTTTTTTTTTTTAAATTTGGCCGACCCTGAGAACGAGTTTCGGAGAGGGCCTGTCGACCCTCAAAGGGTTAAAAGGGGAGTTAATACGATATGACATCAGTGAATCCCTGATGTTTGCCATGCTGTTTGCTCACGCTGGCACTCAATTGAACTGGTGCTCCCATAAGGTACTAAGTGGTCCCAGATTTTTTTTAATACTGTGCACACTGAGTGCTAAGACCCATTCAATACTGACCAGGCATCTCAGGCCAATCGTGCCAAATTTGGAGGCAGGAAAAACAAAACAATCTACATTTGGAGCGCTAGCGATAACAATGTAGATCTACGTTTGGACAGTTAAGGGGTTAAAACACTTTAAATTCTGGAAAGTTTCCAGGTGGAACCAAGAGACAGAGCTCACAACAACACCCAGGTCACATGTAGAAATAAATATTATTATTATTATTATTATTATTATTATTATTATTATTATTATAAAACACCATGGGGAAGAAGCTCCATAAATGTGTATAGTGTCAGGTTTTAGTTGGGTGGTTGGATTTCTATGTATGTATTTCATACGTCTACTGGCTGTTGATACACATTATGCATACAACTATGAAGTGTTTTCCCCACAATACAAACACCTTACATTGTGTACAAGATGTCTTCACTGTGCAGTAGAATACATAACAGTAACACTCCTATTCTCATGCAACATACTATTTTTAGAGCAAATGACACTATTAGTGAAGGCATATGAAAGGAATATTTTTCTATAGTTACCCAATAATACTATATTGTACATAGCTTCTCTGGTGTTGGACCAGAGATAACTTGATTTTTGCTATTACTACTACAAGCCGCCCAGCCACCACAACTTCACATTTGTGTCAATTTGTTCTACTATGGTTGTATGTAGCATGTTTCTTATATAATTTTGAAAAAATATCATAAATGGATTAATGAAAATGTCTATAATAACGTAATATATGACATTTAGAGCATCCCAGAGCGATTATTTTTTCAACAAACCGGCCATATCCCACCAAGGCAGGGTGACCTAAAAAGAAAAATAAGTTTCTCTTTTTAAAATTAGTAATGTATACAGGAGAGGGTTACTAGCTCCTTGCTTCCAGAATTTTAGTCGTGTCTTACAACATGCACCTTTCAACACTAGTGAGACACTTTTAGTGATTTTAATGTGTGCCTGCATGCCAACACAGAGTGTAAGTTTATTTAGGTACAGGTACACATAAGTACAATTATCAGAGTATACATATATAAAATATGCAGTAACTTTAAAAATAACTGAAATTTTGTAAAGTTTCCAGACATAATTGAGATGTGGAACTCACAGGATGTAAACAGAGTGGCGCACGGACACCATAATGGCGAATCAGGGACCCCCGCCTTATATCGTAAGGCGGGGGTCCACTGTAATTTGAGATGTCCGTATTACCAAATCGCCGTAAAGTGAAGTGCCGTACAGCAAGGCCCTCCTGTATAGTACAGTACAATACAGTAAGTTAATCACTTACTTTGAGTCTTGTGTTGGCTTTCCAATCATCAATATCTATTTTTCCAAGACCACCAATAATTAGTTCCAATTCTCTTTCATCAAATGGCTTCAGTAGTTGCTGTGGGACTACTTCAGTGAAGCCTTTCTGAAGAGCTGCAAACTGTTGCTCAATACCCTGGAACACAAGCCTTACTTGAATTATGCTTGACCAAAAAAGGACATACAGTACTATATAGACAATTAAAATTTTGTTAAATTCCTGAAAACCACAATGTTAGACTTAAGATTACCATAAATCCTAGTGTATAAGTCAACCCATGCTATAAATTGATTTTCAGCTAAAATTTCTAATTTAGGCTTATACCCACCATACAAGCCAGAGCCCTAAAAATAAACAAATCACTATCAGGCCAAATACAGTAAACCACACCATTCATGCCTTCACCTACTATGTTTGTCAACAGTGTAATACTTGTGTAATAAATACATAAAAACACCCACACATGCTAAGTAAAAGGACACAAGTGCAACTAATGTGACATTTTACTGTGGCAATGTTTCGCTTTCCAGGAGCTTTGTCAAGCCGTTTGCCATAACGGCTTGATAAAGCTCTTGGAGAAAGAAATGTTGTCACAATAAAATGCCAAGTAGTTGCACTTCGTGTCCTTTTACTTAACATAGTCGGTAATTCTACCAACGTTAATACAACCCACACATGCAAACACGCACACACATACAAGAGGTATGATAAAACTCATGGAGCAAGGAGAAATTGACCTAGTAGTGACCAGTGAAGAGATGGGGCCAGGAGCTATGATTTGACCCCTGCAACCATAATTAGGCAAATACAATTAGGTGAGTAAAAACACCGTAGCAACATTCATAAGCAGGCTCCCTGGCTAAGACTTAAGTCATGTGATACCCATTTGAACCATACACCTAAACCACAGGCCTCTCTCTCAAACTCAACCAGGCCTAGCAAACAGGTAGATGTGGATGGGATGGGCTCCACCACAATTACCAATAGAATGCATCTATAATAGTTAACACGATTCAGTTTTTGTATCTACTTTCCACCTTTTGTTCTGAAGGTTCACCTATTGTGGTGATTACCTTTTTTTTTTTTTAACAGTTAAATTTTTTTTCAATGAGCCAGCCATATTCCACCAAGGCAGTGACCTAAAAAGAAAAACAAAAGTTCCCCTTTAAATTCAGTAGTTTATACAGGAGAAGTGGGTTACCAGCCCTTTGCTCCCGGGATTTAAGTTGCCTCTTACGACACGCATAGCTTATGGAGGAAGAATTCTTGTCCACTTGCCCATGGAGATAAGGGGAAATAAAGAACAAGAACTACTAAGAAAATACAGCCTCTCCTCACCTAGCGATGTACTCGCTTACCGACAACTCGGACTTACGACAGGCTCTGACCAGTATGCATACCTAAATAATGTATATTAGAGCTGACTTCCTCTATTCTGTTTATTACAATATACAGTACACTACTGTATACACATTTAAAAATATACCAGAAATGTTATCAATGGTGCAAAGGTGATACTATAACAATATCAAAGATGGTTGACAAAAATGCACTACCATTATAGTATGATCCTCACTTAGTGACGAATTCGTTTACCGATGTGGTCCTAGGAACAGAACTTAATCACTAAGTGTGGAGAGGTTGTAGATGGGTGTGTGTATATATATGCATGTACATGTACATGCATGTGTAGTGTGACCTAAGTGTAAGAAGTAGTAGCAATACAAACTTGAAATTTTGCATGTTAGTGAGATGGATAAAAGACACCAGCAATCTTACCACCATGTAGAACAATTACAGGATCATTATCTAGTTGTAGCTACAGTTAGAGTAAGAGGTAGATGGGAAAAGAGGAAAATGGCAACAACAAGCAAGAGGGAGGTGAAAGTGTATAAACTAAGGAAGGAGGAAGTTCAGGTGAGATATAAGCAACTATTGGCAGAAAGGTGGACTGGTGCAAGTATGAGTAGTTGGGGGGAGGGGGGGGGGGGGGTTGAAGAGGGTTGGAATAGTTTTAAAAATGCAGTATTAGAATGTGGGGCAGAAGTTTGTGGTTATAGGAGGGTGGGGGCAGGAGGAAAGAGGAGTGATTGGTGGAATGATGAAGTAAAGCGTGTGATAAAGGAGAAAAAGTTAGCCTATGAGAGGTTTTTACAAAGCAGAAGTGTTATAAGAAGAGCAGAGTATATGGAGAGCAAAAGAAAGGTGAAGAGAGTGGTGAGAGAGTGCAAAAGGAGAGCAGATGATAGAGCAGGAGAGGCACTGTCAAGAAATTTTAATGAAAATAAGAAAAAATTTTGGAGCGAGTTAAACAAGTTAAGAAAGCCTAGAGAACGAATGAATCTGTCAGTTAAAAACAGAGTAAGGGAGTTAGTAGATGGGGAGATGGAGGTATTGGGTAGATGGCGAGAATACTTTGAGGAACTTTTAAATGTCGACGAAGAAAGGGAGGCAGTAATTTCATCCACTGGCCAGGAAGATATGCCATCTTTTACGAGTGTTAAGAAGATCAGGATGTAAGTGTGGATGAGGTGTGTGAGGCATTACGTAGAATGAAAGGGGGTAAAGCAGCTGGAACTGACGGAATCATGAGAGAAATGTTAAAAGCAGGGGGGATATAGTGTTGGAGTGGTTGGTATTTTTGTCTAATAAATGTATGAAAGAGGGGAAGGTCCCTAGGGATTGGCAGAGAGCATGTATAGTCCCAGTGATTATGTGTGAGTGAGGTGAAAGTGTTGAATGATGATGAAAGTATTTTCTTTTTGGGGATTTTCTTTCTTTTTGGGGATTTTTTCTTTCTTTTTGGGTCACCCTGCCTCAGTGGGAGACGGCCGACTTGTTTAAAAAAAAAAAAAATTTGGTAGTACCTCTCTCGGTGGTTGTTGTCTACCAACCTACTCCTCTGAGCAGTTAAATTATAAAATTATTTTTGTTATTTTTTTACCAAATGCATTCTTATTGTGTGTATGCACATTTTATGCATGTAATGAGAGCTCATATTTGTTTGGAAGATTGGTCAAGAACCACAGACTTTATATTTAAGCTTCTGTTAGGGTGGAATTACCATAATTTTCTTCCCTGGTTAGTTTTTAACCAAATACAATCATACTTTGTATATGATCACTCTATACACATATGGAGACCTTGCACTTAATTGGAAGAGATGAAAACTATGAGTGCCTAGATGTCCACAGCTGAAGTGTCTCACAAGAGGTAGGATGGTGGTGCAGCTAGCTGTGTCACTCATGCTCACAGCCCCACACTGCAGCCCCTCAACCAACCCACCTCTTATGTTGCCTTTTCTTTATCACCCTGTCTTGTCTCTGGATGTTAACCATGGCACAAAAAAAAAAGGAATAGCAGTCACAATGGAGGTGCTAAGAAGAGAAAGTCCAAATGTTTTTAAAAAATGAAAGAAAAATGTATAGAGAAATAATAGTCCCAGGCATTGTATTAGCTATGTCTATTTCTCTGCAATGAATACATGCCCATTTTCTATGGAATACACAGTAACTGTGTCAAACACAGTTCCCTTGAGATTAACTAAACTTTATTTAACAAGTTTTTTTTTTTACTTAGGCTTGAGGTATGCATACTATTTTTTTTACATCGGCCTTGAGAGCACACACATTTTTTTTTTTTTTCAACAAGTCGGCCATCTCCCACCGAGGCAGGGTGACCCAAAAAGAAAGAAAATCCCCAAAAGGAAAATACTTTCATCATCATTCAACACTTTCACCTCACTCACACATAATCACTGTTTTTGCAGAGGTGCTCAGAACACAACAGTTTAGAAGCATATACGTATAAAGATACACAACATATCCCTCCAAACTGCTAATATCCCGAACCCCTCCTTTAGAGTGCAGGCATTGTACTTCCCATTTCCAGGACTCAAGTCCGGCTATATAAAAATAACCAGTTTCCCTGAATCCCTTCACTAAATGTTACCCTGCTCACACTCCAACAGATCGTCAGGTCCCAAATACCATTCGTCTCCATTCACTCCTATCGAACGCGCTCATGCACGCCTGCTGGAAGTCCAAGCCCCTCGCCCACACAAAACCTCCCTTACCCCTTCCTTCCAACCTTTTCGAGGACGACCCCTACCCCGCCTTCCTTCTCCTACAGATTTAAATGCTCTTCATGTCATTCTTCTTTGATCCATTCTCTCTAAATGACCAAACCACCTCAACAACCCCTCTTCAACCCTCTGACTAATACTTTTATTAACTCCACACCTTCTCCTAATTTCCACACTCCGAATATTCTGCATAATATTTACACCACACATTGCCCTTAGACAGGACATCTTCACTACCTCCAACTGCCTCCTCACTGCTGTATTCACAACGCAAGCTTCACACCCATATAAGAGTGTTGGTACTACTATACTTTCATACATTCCCTTCTTTGCTTCCATAGATAATGTTTTTTTGGTGGCCTGGTGGTTAACGCTCTCACTTCACACGGTGAGGGCCTGGGTTCGATTCCCAGCCAGAGTAGAAACATTGGACGTGTTTCTTTCCACCTGTTGTCTATGTTCCCCATCAGTAAAATGGGTACCTGGGTGTTAGTCGACTGGTGTGGGTCGCATCCTGGGACACTGACCTAAGGAGGCCTGGTCACAGACCGGGCCGCGGGGGCGTTGACCCCCGGAACTCTCTCCAGATAAACTCCAGATACCTCAACGCACCACACCTTTTTTCCCTTAACAATCCTATGATTAACCTCATCCTTCATAAATCCATCCGCCGACACGTCAATTCCCAAGTATCTGAAAACATTCACTTCTTCCATACTCCTCCTTCCCAATTTTTGATATCCAATTTTTCTTTATCTAAATCATTTGATACCTTCATCACCTTACTCTTTTCTATGTTCACTTTCAACTTTCTACCTTTACACACACTCCCAAACTCATCCACTAACCTTTGCAATTTTTCTTCAGAATCTCCCATAAGCACAGTATCATCAGCAAAAAGTAACTGTCAATTCCCATTTTGTATTTGATTCCCCATAATTTAATCCCACCCCTCTCCCAAACACCCTAGCATTTACTTCTTTTACAACCCCATCTTAAATATATTAAAACAACCATGGTGACATTACACATCCCTGCCTAAGACCTACTTTTACCGGGAAGTAGTCTCCCTCTCTTCTACACACCCTAACATGAGCCTCACTATCCTCATAAAAACTCTTTACAGCATTTAGTAACTTACCACCTATTCCATATACTTGCAATATCTGCCACATTGCTCCCCTATCCACTCTATCATATGCCTTTTCTAAATCCATAAATGCAATAAAAACTTCCCTACCTTTATCTAAATACTGTTCACATATATGCTTCAATGTAAACACTTGATCTACACATCCCCTACCCATTCTGAAACCTCCTTGCTCATCTGCAGTCCTACATTCTGTCTTGCCTCCAATTCTTTCAATAATAACCCTACCGTACACTTTTCCTGGTATACTCAGTAAACTTATTCCTTTATAATTTTTACAATCTCTTTTGTCCCCTTCCCCTTTTTATAAAGGGACTATACATGCTCTCTGCCAATCCACTAGGTACCTTCCCCCCTTTCATACATTATTAAACAAAAGTACCAATCACTCCAACACTATATCCCCCTGCTTTTAACATTTCTGTCATGATCCCATCAGTTCCAGCTGCTTTACCCCCTTTCATTCTACGTAATGCCTCACGTACCTCCCCACACTTACATTCTGCTCTTCTTCACTCCTAAAAGATGGTATTACCTCCCTGGCCAGTGATGAAATTACCGCTTCCCTTTCTTCCTCAACATTTAAAAGTTCCTCAAAATATTCTCGCCATCTACCTAATACCTCCCTCTCCCATCTACTAACTCCCCTACTCTATTTTTAACTGACAAATCCATACGTTCCCTAGGCTTTCTTAGCTTGTTTAACTCGCTCCAAAATTTTATCTTATTTTCATTAAAATTTCTTGACAGTGCCTCTCCCACTCTATCATCTGCTCTCCTTTTGCACTCTCTCACCACTCTCTTCACCTTTCTTTTACTCTCCATATACTCTGCTCTTCTTATAACACTTCTGCTTTCTAAAAACCTCTCATAAGCTAACTTTTTCTCTTTTATCACACCCTTTACTTCTTCATTCCACCAATCACTCCTCTTTCCTCCTGCACCCACCCTCCTATAAACACAAACTTCTGCCCCACATTCTAATACTGCATTTTTAAAACTCATCCAACCCTATTCAACATCCCCCACTACCCATCTTTGCACTAGCCCACCTTTCTGCCAATAGTCGCTTACATGGGTACATAAAAAGTACATTATGAAAATTAAACCTTGGATAAATCATTTAAGTAAAAAATTGCACATGTTTGAGGGCCTAAGCCTCACTACATTCAATAAGGCCTAGTGGAGCAGTGTCAACCCTCTCCACACATTTCTGGCTCAACAAGAAACAACATTGATAACATAAAATGTCAAAAACATTAACCCTTTCATTGGCTCGTCAGTAGATCTACGTCACTGACACCAAGGTCACTTGCATAAACCTCAATCTTGGGAGCTCAGCTCCTTTGCATAAGCTGTGAGCAGTAAATTCTGATCTGGATATGAGAGAATGGGTCCTCATGGAGAGGGTGCACAGTATAAAAAAAAAATCCTGCCCCACGTGGTGCATGATGGGAAAAGCAAAACTCTGACCTTGTGTTTGGTTTAAAATAGCAGTTTTGAGATATTTTCTAGTACAATTTTTAAGATTTTATTGACTTTTTTTATTTTGTTTGACATTTACTATCCTCGGCTAGCATTTTTACAGCTGAATTGTATGCCATTCTTGCAGCACTTATCCGTATTGCATCTATGCTTGTGTCATCATTTGTGGTCGTCTCAGACTACCTTAGTGCTCTACAGGCTATACGAAAATTTGATACACCTCACCCCCTAGTCCTCCGTATCCAACTTTGGCTATGCCGTATCTCTACCAAGCATAAAGATATTGTTTTTTGTTGGGTCCCTGGTCATGTTGACGTACAGGGCAACGAACAGGCAGACACTGCTGCGCGGTCACCAGTACATGACCTACCAGTTTCACATAGAGGTGTTCCATTTACGGACTATTTTGCTGTAATAGCTACCCACCTTCATACCTGTTGGCAACAACGTTGGTCTAATCTACTCGGTAACAAACTTCATTCTATTAAACCAAGCATAGGTTACTGGCTGTCTTCTTGTCATCAGTGTCGAGGTTGGGAGACTACTCTCTCCCGTCTTCGCATTGGCCACACTTGTCTTACTCATGGGTATCTCATGGAGAGGCACCCTGTTCCTCTCTGTGAGACATGTCAGGTTCCGGTATTGGTTAGCCACATTCTGTTAGACCGCCCTCTCTATCAACGAGCACGCAGAATTTACCTCCTACGTTGTCTCCGCTCTACTATCTCTTTACCTTCCCTTCTTGCTGATGGACCCTCCTTTAATCCTGACTCTCTCAGTGACTTGACAACAACTGACTTACTCCACAAACTCTGATGACGATACCTTTCGCAGTCCCCTCAGCCCTTTCTACCTCAATCTCTTGCTACCCCCTACCCCTGTACTATCCACTGCCCCGCTGTTCTCCGTACCCTGCTAATTATCCCTCTCCCTTTTGCCACCTGATACCCCTGCTTCCTTCCTGCCCTGCAGCGCTGTATAGCCCTTGTGGTTTAGCACTTCTTTTTGATTATAATAATAATAATAATTTGGTATTATTTCACAGAATGGAAGATATTCTACTGAAATAAAGATGATTTTGTTTAGTTTCAGGACTGGAAGTAGCTTGAAAGTGGGTTCAAAGTAGCAGAAATATTTCCCTCCAATAACTTGTTGCCATTCAGCCCTGTTCACTGTTACTTCTCAGGCCTTTTCTACATCTATACCTAGCTTTCTCACATTCACTTGCATATCTGTTCATCTTAGGTTTCCTCTTTCCTTTCTACCCTTATATTACACAACTAAATGTACTTTCAAAACTATCATTATCCATTCAACATGACTATACCATTGAAAATACATTAATGAAAAAATAAACATTAATTCCTGAGTAATTTCATGTATTGTACTCAGGTTTTACTGAGAACACGCATCTGAAGATATGTGTGTAAGGACATGGAAGTGCCTGGGTATTTCCATTTATTTGTTCAACATATTTTTTTCACATTTGCAATCAGGCATTTCTTTTTCAACATGCCAGTCATCTCCCCGAGGCAGGGTGACCCAAAAAAGAAACACTTTCACCATTATTCAATACTTTCACCATCATTCACACATAATTACTGTCTTTGCACAGGCACTCAGATGTGGCGGTTCATGTCACACCAAACAGCCAATATCCCAATCCCCTTCTTTAAAGTGCAGGCACTGTACTTCCCACCTCCCGGACTGAAGTCCAGCTAACTGGTTTCCTGAATCCCTTCACAAAATATTACCACTGCTCACACTGCAACAGCTCAACAAGTCCCAAAAACCAATAGTCTACAATCACTCCTATCTAACGTGCTCACATGTCTGCTGTATGTCCAAGCCCCTTGCACAAAAAACCTCTTTTAACCCCTCCCTCCATCATGCATTTTTTTTGCAATTTATTCCATAACTATACAATTTATATAACTTTTCTCAGTTTCATGAGCTACAAATTTTAGGGTTAATCTAATACACAACATACCAATCACAAACTTTTAAAACATTCAAAAAAGTAAAAACAAAAAAAAAAAAAATTCTGTACAAACCTGCATAAATCTGTAGTTGACATACAACCTAACATATTCCTTTTTGTTGTCTTCTGTAACCACAACACTACCACCACCTGGCTTGAGCTCTCTCATCTGGAGGACACCAAAGCTCTCATGCTCAACAGTAAAGGTGTTGTCAATGATATCTGTAATGTCATTCTCCCTGCAAACAAAATAAGAGAATAGGAACTTAAAATAATAGCAAATTTTGCCACCAGTCACTCCAAAGCAATATGCAAAGTGGAATGCACAATGATTACGATTAAAATTATTGCACAAACACGAATTCTCAAATTGTTTTAGTCATTTTTTCCATTTTTTCCAGTTTCATGATAGTATCACATAACTATGACCAAATACTATTGTGAGGACTAATTGTGAATGCAAGTAAGTGTTCTTAACCCCTTGACTGTCGCAACCCCAAATCCTGAGGTGCCTCCTGGTGTCACAAAAATCCCCCCCCCCAATTTCTTATGAAATGATAGAGCATCTTTTCCCGATTGTAATGACACCAAAAGAACTAAATTTGATGGAAAACGGACAGAATTATACTCTCGCGAAGTTAGCGACCTCGGTGATATTTACGAATCAGTGATTTCGCCCACTTTGAGCCCTATTTTCGGCTAATTTCATTGTTCCAGTCAACCAAACTCACAGCTATTTCTTTAGAACTCCATTTTTTCTATTGACTAAGTACAAGAATCTGCCCATTTACCGATTTCAACTACCCAATAACGTGGTCATAAATTTGCAATTTGGCCAATTTCACGAAAATTAAAAAAATATGACAATTTCAAAATAGAGTCCAGAATGAACAATGCAGACATTCCTGGCTCTACAAAAACATTTTCTTTGTTCATCAGTCACGTCTCCAGGCCCCTCTGATATTACTCTTGTTTTCTATTTTGAATTTTTATTCACACAAAAAATAGAAGATTTACTGTTATGCAGACTACTGCAATATTGTAATAATTGTATAAATAATGTCAACCCATTCATGACTGCATATCAGAATGGCTACTTGGACATTTATTGGAAAATGACATCATTTGTTTACTTTTGAACATCGGCAAAAATCGAACATTTCCCCTACATTGAGCTCCATTTCAAGGTTCTTTTCATAGTAAAACCAATCAAAATCACCTCTATTTCTATATTATGTTTTCCATTCTATCAAATGAGACCAAGAAAACGAGAATACAACCATAAATACTGTACAAAAATAGACCATAAAGTTGGCATTTTAATAAAAAAAAAAAACAACGGTCGGAGTTTTTTTTTCTCATTATGCACTGTGTGCTGCAGGATTTTTTTTATATGATGCACACTGACCACACAGACCCATTCTCTCACATGTGGGCCTACCAGTTTTCTCCTGCTTGATTTGAATCCATTAGAATTTTATACGTCAAAAACGGTGGCCCATAAGACGTATATATATGACCAAAACAGTCAAAGGGTTAATACAAAGGAATTATGAACATGCTCTGCAAATCAGTAAGTACCTTCCCAGTTTTCATGCATTTATGGAACAAAATGTACCAACCACTCCAAAATTATAGATGGCTGTAAAAGAAGTGAATGCTAAGAGTGGAAGATGAGGAGCAGGCTTTAAAGATAACAATTTTTATATAAAATGAGTTAGCATAGTTTTTTTTTTTTTTTTTACTGATGACAAGTGCTTTTGGGAGATTAGAAGAGTTAACCCTTTATCGTGTTCGCCCATTTATACATACGGGCGTGAACGCACGTTTTTGCACATGTCATCCTACTCTCACTGCGCATCTGGGTTCCCATTTTCTAGTTCACACCAATCACAAGCCTTCTGTGAGTCGCTCCAGCTAAGGGATGATGGCGTCTGCTCACTTCCCATTGATTGAGAGACCAAAATGTACACACCTCTAACTTGGCGTCATCCAGAGCAGTTTTTTTTCCTCGAGTTACATTCATATACCCTAAGATTTTACCCTCTGCAATGTTGATAAGTACTGATTTCTGTGTCATTAGAATTTAAAAAAGAAAATGAATGCTGAGGATAACTCTGCTCCTGTAGCAATCTATAATTATTTACAAGGAATTATAATGATCTACAGTGGAACCTCAAAAATCGAACTTAATCCATTCCAGGAGCTAGTTCTAAATTCGAAAAGTCTGAAATTCGAAGCAATATTTCCCATAAGAAATAATGGAAATACAATTTATCCGTTCCAGAAACCCAAAAATATTCACACAAAAAATACATTTTATAGAGATTAATTACAGTTTTACATACAACAAATACTATAGTTTTTAATTATGTATAGTAATACATATAAAATAACATTTTTGCTTACCTTTATTGAAGATTGGTGATGGCATCCGGAAGATAGGGAGGAGGAGAGAGGGAGTTGGGGTTAGTGTTTGGAAGGAGAATCCCCCTCCATGAGGACTTCAGGTAAAGCCCTCTCTGGGGTTACTTCCCTTCTCTGTCTTTTAATGCCACTAGGACCAGCTTGAGAGTCACTGGACCCCTGTCTCACAAAATAACTGTCCACAGTCCTCTGTTTCTGGTGCCTCTTTAACATTTCCCTAAAATGGGACATGGTTCTGTCACTGAACTTGTTGCAAAGATGGCTTGTTTCAGCTTGCTCAGGGTGGTACTTCTGCACAAACATTTGGACATCATTCCACTTGGCACAAATCTCCTAAATCTTTGAAGAAGGCACCTCATCCACTCCCTCTTCCTCCTCCTCTAAAGCAAGTTCCTCAGCTGTGGTCTGATACTGCTCCAGATGAAGCTCTTGCAGCTCTTCAGTGGTTAGCTCTTCCCTGTGGTCCTCCAACTCTTCCACATCCTCACCACTCACCTCCAACCCCAGGGTGTTCCCCAATGCCACAATAGAGTCCACAACAGGCAGAGGGTGAGCTGAGTCAGGGTCAGGGTCAGCCTCAAACCCTTCAAAATCCCTCTTTTGGACACAATCTGGCCACAATTGTCTCCAAGCAGAGTTCAAAGTCCTGGAAGTCACTCCCTCCCAAGCCTTACCTATAAGGCTTATGGAGTTGTAGATGTTGAAGTGATTCCTCCAGAACTCTCTTAGGGTCAACTTGGTGTCTGTGGTCACTTCAAAGCAATTTTCAAATACTGCTTTTGTGTAAGAGTTTTTTGAAGTTAGAAATGACCTGCTGGTCCATGGGATGGAGGAGAGGAGTGGGGTTAGGAGGCAAGAACTTCACTTTCATAAAACTGAAGTCCTTAGACAAGAGGTCTAATAAGTTTGGAGGATGAGCAGGAGCACTGTCCATTAACAGGAGGCACTTGAGTGGCAATTTCTTTTCCTGGAAGTATTTTTTCACACTGGGGCCAAACACTTCATAGACCCACTCTTTGAAAATTTGTCTTGTGACCCATGCCTTATGATTAGCTTTCCACAAGGCACATAACTTGTTCTTAAAGACATTGTTTTTCTTAAACACTCTGGGATTTTCTGAATGATACACAAGTAAAGGCTTCACTTTAACCCCTTCAGGGTCCAAGGCCAAAATCTGAAGTGGTGCTCCAGTGTCCAAGAAATTTTGAAAAAAAAAAAAAAAATATTTTTTCTTACAGAATTAAAGAGCATATTTTTGTGAAGGTAATAAGAAAAAAAAAAAAAAAAAGTTTTGCCATACTTCCCGAGAAACGTCCCAAGGGAATTTTTGTAAAAAAATGATGTGGTGGCGGCAAATCAAAAAATTCCCTACGGGGCATTACATTTATTTAGCTTTTTTTTAAATTTTTTTCCCTTTTTTTTTTCCCAAATTTTTTTCTTTTTTCCTACTAACATTTGGGGCCTGAGGGCCAAATTTTACGTTTTAAAATTTGTATATTTTAAACTCACTTTTATTGAACAAAAATAACCCCCTTTTTAAATTATCATATTTTTGTTTACCTGTTGTTTATTAATAAACATGCACAAATTTTGGGGATAATATTTAATGTTCTATCATATATTTACATATTTACAATAAACGGGGAAGGTTTTAGAATGCTGGAGCGGTGGAACCCCTTTTGAAAAAAGGCCCACCATGCCCCAAGGGCCCCTTACATTCCTCACACAAAAAACCGATTTGTTTTTGGGTTTTTGTTCCTTTTTCCCCCCCCCCCCCCCCCCCCCCCCCTTTTTTTGTGCACGGGACGATGCACCCTCTTTGAAAAATTTTTTCGGGAGTTAAAGGGAAAGTGTATTATAAAATTTGATCACCTTTCCCTTTCCTCAAACGTTTGGGGGTTTTATCCTGAGAAAATTCGAGGCCCTTTTGTTGTAAAGCAGGTGTTTTCCCTTGGTCCCTTCATTTTTGAGTTGTCGGGACAACAGACAAACAAAAATTCCCCTTTCCGGGGGTTTCTGTTCCAGTCTTTATTTGGTACATTTTATTTTTGCAGGGGAGCATAAAAATTTTTCCATTTGGGAAATCTTAGAAAAACAGTAAACCCAAAACCCAATTGAAGGGTCACATTTGTAAACCCCAAGCGCATGTTTTTTTGGATAATCAATCATGTCCTGGTTTTAAAAATTTACTTTCTTTTGTCACTCAATAAATTTTTCCCACGGTCTTGCTTTTTTTACTGGTGAAGGGTTTTGCCCCCCCAATGTGACATCTGGGTTTTTTTCATGCCCCCCTTTAATGCCATGTTTTTCTTTGGCAGAAAAACCACCCTGAGGGCCCTCCCACGAGCACCGGCGTTGACCCCTGACATATTTTTACAAATTTAAACCCGGAAATTTGTGCCCCACACATCTGTCTTGTTCACTCGCATAAATTTTCTTTGAGTAAGGGGGCTTGTGTCCCAGTTTTCGGTTTTAAAAATGTATGCCCCTTCCCAAGAAAAGGTGCCATCTTTGTTTCTCACTACTTTCACCTGGATCCCCAATAACTTTTTTGGTATCTTTCAATTTTTACTTCCCGGGGATACAACAATACCCAAACCCACCAGGCCACTGTCACAGTACGGGAGTCCCAAACATTTTTTATACCAAAGCGTTTCCTAAGTCGGTTTATACGTTTGAATGGACGGGTTAAACCTTTTGAAAAAAATTTAAAAAAGCCCTCGTAAATTTAAAAGGGATTTTTGAATGGATAAAATAAATGCTGAACTTTTGTTTGAAAAATAATGAAAATTTTTTTAAATCTTTTTATAACCTGTCACTTCTGTCAGGCCGGGTTTTTTGTCAGAAAAGGGTGCAACTTGTAAGAGTAAGATAAACCTGTTCACTGGTAGGGTTTTCATGAAAAAGGGGGGTAAAAAATTTGCCAATCTGTGGCCCCGGGTTTGCTTTTATATTATGTAATAGACATGAGGGCAAAAGGCTTTTATTGTTGCAAAAAGAAATACTTTTCCCGCAACGTCTTTTTTTCTTTCCCCCGGTGTAGTTTTGGGACTGTGGTGATTGATGGGTTTTTGATGGTTTTACTCAAAATACTTATTACTTTCCCTGCCCAATAGTTTCCATCAATGGCTGGAAAAAGAAAATTCAAAAAAATTTCCAGTTCTTTGGGGCCGTGGTTTCCAAGGGGGAAAAGTAGGTGGGGAATTTCCCCCCTTTTGAGATTTCATCAAAGTGGTGAGGGCTTGGGAAAAAAAACTGGGATTTTTTTGCCAACCCCACATATGGTTTGTGGTGGAAAATTGGACATCATAGGCTGGTTTGGGGGGTTTGTTGATTGTGGTTGCGGTGGGCTGGTGGCTGAAAGCTCCGCTTTGTCCTTGAACTGAGGAGTCAGCAGCGTGGGTCCCAGCGTGGGCTGGTGAGTCACGCATGGTGGTACCACTACCATCACCACTACCACCATCCACTGATGCCTGTGGGCCACGGGATGTACTCCGTCCCCTGGGCACAGCATAGGGTACACTACCCGAGTGCATGCGGCGGCGAACATACCGACGCTTCACTGGTGAATATAATTCCTCACTATCACTACTCGAATGATCGTCGAGCGCAATAAAATCACAATCCACGTCACTATCATCATCATTACTGAAGTCAGAGGCCTGGCCACGCGAAAATATTAGCTTTCTCTTGCGTTGAGGAACAATCGACCGTGAGTCACGAGTGCCCACACCAGAGGTAGAAGGTTGAGGATCGTCAGGGTTTTCTGCACTATTATCGATATCCTGGTCATTCTTTTCGGTCACTAACTGATCAAAGCCGTAGAATTCGTCTTCATTTCCACTTCCATCAGTGTCAGAACTATCAGATAGGAAGAGGAGAGTCCCAATTTTCCGGGGAGTGAGAGCTGACTTGCGACGAGGCATGGTGAACAAGGGTAACTGAGCCGGCATTCCCACAAAGCTATGCGGGCGCCTAGATTTTTTGTTTATGGCGCACACCCACCACGCAGACCCGTTCTCTCACATGTAGGCCTATGAGCGCTTTCGCGCTAAATTTGACGGCGCTAGAATTTTGGCGTAGATCTACGGTTTGGACACTCAACGTGAAGCCGTAGATCTACGGGACGGACCCTGAAAGGGTTAAAATCACCACTAGCATTAGCACAGAACAAAAGAGTAAGCCTGTCTTTCATAGGTTTGTGTCCTGGCAGTGCATTTTCCTCCTGTGTGATGAAGGTCCTTTTTGGCATTTTCTTCCAAAACAAACCTGTTTCGTCACAATTAAACACTTGTTCAGGTTTGAATTCTTCACTGTCTATGTACCCCTTAAACTCCTGTACAAACTTCTCAGCTGCCCGTTTGTGGGAACTGGCTGCTTCACCATGTCTTACAACATTGTGTATGCCACTACGCTTCTTAAATCTATCAAACCAGCCTCTGCTGGCCTTAAATTCACTATCAGCACTGGTTCCAGGAGTTTTCTGTACCAGATCGGCATGCAACTTCCTTGCCTTTTCGCAAATAATCGTCTCTGAAACACTATCACCTGCAATCTCTCTATCCTTGATCCACACCAGCAACAACTTCTCAACCTCTTTAACTATTTGTGGTCTTTTTTTTGGTTAGCATATTAACACCTTTCGCAAAATCAGCTTCCTTGATTTGTTCTTTCTTTGCCAGGATAGAACCGATGGTTGACTTGTTTTTCCCATACATCCTGGCAAGCTCAACAAGTCTCACACCACTCTCATACTTCTGTATTATTTCCTTCTTCACATCTATGGTGTTTCTCACTTTCTTTACCACAGAGGTACCACTATCAAGTTTCTTTGGGCCCATGGTAGCTTATTTCACAGTCCCACAAGCACTAAACATAACGAAATAATCGTAAAATGCGTGAATGAGAGCGCAGGTTAGTGTTCACTCAAGCATAAACAAAGATAGACTGCTCACGGCGCCTGCGTAGGGACACGGACAGAGCGGGCCGGCAGACAGGTCCGTACCCGGCGGTCTGAAAATAGTGGCGCATTTGATAATAGGGACACAGTTTGTCCGAAAAAATGGTCCTATTTTCAAAACGTTCGATATGTGATACGTTCGATTTTTGAGGTTCCACTGTACATGCATTTTTCTCTCCATAAACCAAAAATTAATTACTCACAGCATCCAGTTGAGTGAACGGTGAAGGTCTGGATCAACAGCTTCAATGTCATCCAGTATGATGAGTTTATTGAGCAACATCTTGTAGAAAGGCATGGAAAAGCCACCATCAATATAGTGCCCATGGAATATAGCCATTCCTATTACACGTCCAACAAAATGGAAATAGGACAAATGTTCCTGGGAAGTGGAGAACAATGGTCATTATTCTGACTGGGATCAGCAGACCAATTCCTACAGATATACAATCATAAAATAAAGTCCAATTATAAGCCACTTACAAAAACAGAAATATAAAAAAAATTAAGACCAGCATCTCCCACTGAGGTATGGTGACAAAAAAAAAAAAAAAAAAAATCACCTTTACTCATTCAATGACTGCCTTGCCAGAAGACAGCATTCTAACTTTTGAGATTAAAAAAAATCTACAATACAGAACATGTGTACATATTTGATTATGAATTGAAGATTATTTACTGAATAAAAACAAATAAAATGCATATTTTTTTGAAGCAAATGTAATGTTCTTACTTACATAGCATTAGTGTACAAAATTTCATGCTGAGGGCTAATATACATGTAACTAAATACTGTATTCTTCAGTACAGTAGCTTTGTAACTCATTTACAGAGTGCATTTTTATTGTGTACTTTTAACATAACATGACTTCAAAACTATAATAAAATATTAAATAAACACTCCAAAATACATTAGAAAAAAAACAGAAAGAGCTCTCAAGCTCAAGGATTTCAAAATAATCTTTCACCTGGTTCCTCACCCCTTACTCTGCAACTACACTTCTTAAAATAGATTAGACAAAATCAAGAGTAGGAATGGGTGTATGCATCAAGGACCTGCCTGATATGGGCTAGTAGGCTTATTACAGTGCTCATTTCTTAGGTTCTTATTTTTAGGAGGAGCAGTAGCAGAACTTTGCAAGACATATACAACACTAGAACTATCTTATTAATCAGAATTTTAGCATAACATTATTTAATCATTAATATTCTGCCTTCAGTATCAATTATTTAAATTTGCCGTGACCTCGGCTGGGTTACACACCAGGCCATGGATGCATTGATCCCCGAAACCCTCTCCAGGTATACTCCAGGTACCTCCCACCAAGGTAGGGTAACCCAAAAAAGAAACTTTCACCATCACTCAATCCATCAGTATCTTGCCAGAGGTGCGCTGACATTACTACTCGGATACCCCACCAAACTACAATATCCCCACCCCTGCTTCAGAATTCAGGCACTGAACTTCCCACCTCCAAGACTCAAGTTTCATTAACCAGTTTCCCTGAATCCCTCCATAAATTTTACCTTGCTCACACTGACAGCACTCCACTCCTAACACACTCACACATACCTGTTGGATGTCCCAGCCCCTCACATACAAAACCTCCTTTACCTATTCCCTCCAACCTTTGCTAGAATGACCCCTACCCCTCCTTCCTTCCACTACAGATTTATACATCTCCCAAGTCATACTATTTTGCTCAATCCTCTCTAAATGTCCAAACGACCTCAATAATCCCACCTCAGCCCTCTGAATAATGCTTTTTGTAACCCTGCACCTCCTCCTAATCTCCAAACTATGAATTTCCTATGTGATATTTACACCGCACATTGTTACTATTAACACTAATTTGCTTGTAATGCTTACTGTGTTGTCTGCTATATGAAAGATACCATAATAATTATAATTATTATTAAAGCAATTCTAATTTCATTAGCTAGTCAAAACCAGATCCATAATTCATTCTAAATCACAGGCTATTGGGAACAGGAAACTTTCACAAAAGAGTAAATCCACCTGCTATTTACAACAAAGAGTAGTTGGTGAGATTTTAGTCAAGCACTCATGCCACTCAAACTACCACTTTACCCTGTCATCAGGGAAAATAATAGTAAAGTAACTCAACCTTTTTATTAACCCCTCCCTTCTCTCCTCTTTCCACTGTCACTACATAATTATACTATGAAGCTACTTGGAATATTGAAACTTACTGGATTAACGCTGGAATCTGGATTAATTTGCAGAGTGTATATATCATCCCTAGAGTATTGGAACAAGCCATAGTAAGGGTTGAGCATCTCATGAGACAAGAGGTACAGCCATTCACGAGCAACGCCACCATAATCAAGTCCTTCTTCACCTTTAAATTTCACCATTAATCTCTTGCGTAAATCTTTCGGTCTCATTTTCATGATCTGTCTATAGGATTCCTCAAACACTTCACCCCGTGGAATGTCCAAACGGCAATGACCACTCTGAGGCTGGAGACACTGTAACTCGGCCCTCAACACCTTCATCTTAGCAACTAAATCACGCTTATACTTTGGAAGGCAGTCACCATCCATATCTATCACAGTGGGGTCTTTGGACCCAGGCATATTATTATTACTGCTTATTTGTAGGTTTGTGCTGTTATTCTGAAGCACTACAGAGTTACTGCTATTCACATTAGTAGTCACACCACTTCCTTCACTGCCAATATTGTTGCTATTATTAATACTAGCAGGTACAACAGTTGGACTAATTGGAGTACCATTAACAACTGAGCTATTTGGTTCTTCACTGTTAAGCACACTATTTGAAATAGTATCCCCTGCAGTGTTAGCCTCGGGAGATGGCCCTCTACTTCGAGAGGAGCTATTTCTTCTACTACTCGAGGACCTGTTATTTCTATTATTTGGAACACTGCTGGTAGATACAGAACTATCATTTACAATGCTTCTAGGTTCACTATTACTTCCAGTTTCAATTATACTTGTTCGATTACCTCCCTCACTGCGATTCCTGTAAGGTACAGTAATTATTTCACAAATCAACTATTCCTTATCAAATTTCAAATTCTTTAAGAATTGTTACTCCAGCTAATTAAATAATTTTATTTTAACTTCTTCTAATTTTTGTTTTAGGTCTAATCAAAATGTATGAAAAAATGAAAAATGGTAATCTTTGCAATATCTTCAATTAATTGTAATCTAATTAAATTTCATTCAGATTTAATTATCATCATGTTAAACTGTACAAAATCTCTTACAATAATCCATGGTACTATGTAGACATTTTCTATGCAAAAATAAAGTGTAGCTTAAATAGTATAAAAAAATGGTTTAAAATATGTAGAGTACTGTAATATAAATCATACAAAAGATTGCTATAAAATACTGTAATAACTAACCTGAGAATGTTATTGAGAATGTGTGTATTAGAGAGTCTGGGATCAGTGAACTGAGTTGTACGATTTGTGTGATCCAGAAAGTACGGTCGTCCACTGGGTGTGTGTCTCAGTTCCCATCCTCCAGGGAGAGGGGCTATTTCATCGATATTTACCTGGCCTAAGTCACGTGGCACTCTAGGATCATGCCAGGTGGATGTTCCAGAGTGAATGTTGTAATAGTATACTTGACCTTGCTGTGTGGTTCGCATTTCTAGGAGAACAAAGTAATTTATAAACAGTGTATACATGAATACATACAAAAATTACTCTCATTTCCAATTTCATGGATCTGGGAGTTTTTAATACATTTTAAGTGGTCTTCATAAGAGAAATCTGTAAAAAACCACAATCCATGCCCTACTGCAATTTATGTATGTACAGTGGACCCTCGGTTATTGGCTGTTCCTGTTATTGGCCAACTCGGTGATCGGCCAGTTTTTCAGCTCCCGATGATCAGCCATTATTTTGGTGATCAGCCGTTTCGGACGTGTCCATCCACCGGCTGGGGCCACTTGCACGTCAGTTTGGCTGTGTCTTTCGGTGCGCGAGGAAGCTCCTGCTCATACATCCAAACATTTCACTTGTTTTCCATTTTTTTTGTAGGTCTTTTGCAGTGCAACTGCAAAATAAGTAACCATGGCTCCAAAGAAAGTTCCTAGTAAGGTTCCTGTGGTAAAGAAAGTGAGAAACACCATGGGATTTAAGCATGAAGTGTAGCAGGCATGCAGGGAGTGTAACAGGCATGCAGGGAGTGTAGCAGGCATGCAGGAAGTGTAGCAGGCATGCAAAAAGTGTAGGCATGCAGGGAGTATAGCAGGCATGCAGGAAGTGTAGTAGGCATGCAGGGGGTATAGCAGACATGCAGGGAGTGTAATAAGCATGCAGGGAGTGTAACAGGCATGTAGGAGTGTAGCAGACATGCAGGAAGTGTAGCAGGCATGCAGGGAGTGTAGCAGGCATGCAGGAAGTGCAGCAGGCATTCCAGAAGCTAAGCATTAGTCTTCAATAAAGGTATGTAATACTAATTTAATTGTTAAAAAACTTATTTTTTGGAGAATATTTTTGTCTGGAACGGATTAATTGTAATTACGTTAATTCTTCTGGGAAATATTGTTTTGGTTTTCGGCCATTTCGCTTTTAGGCCGAGCTTCCGGAACGGATTACGGCTGATAACCGAGAGTCCACTGTACAGTATAGACTGTATAGCATTTCTTGAAACAAGCCATTTACAATATAACTATACTAATAAAATTTCAGATTAATATTATATTTTAAGTACATGCATTATATATTCATAAGATAAATACCCAATAAGCAGACATACAAAATTGGGTAAAGAAAAATAAGTTAGCTCCAGTAGGTAGAGAAAAGATGGTCAAGGCAAAAGTAAAAGTAAAAATTCAATGACGAGTTTAACAGAAAAATTTTTAAATATAAATTCATGCCATTCATATTTTTTCTTCCACTTAGTGTTTATTATATTCCAACATAAAATACTGTACACCACTGAGATATGTTTTGGGAGTATGGTATATTGATTCATTTGGCACACTTATCATACTAGAAAGAGAACTGAGAGGCATGGAAATGTCACCCATTTCTGAATTACCTTTGTTTAATGAGATTATTTGGTAATGCTGGTAGCGGGGTGTAAATGATAGACGTCTTCGGAGGCTCCTTTACATTATTGTAATGTCGTGGTGGGTACACAGGCTTGTGTGTTGTGCCCATGGCCTGGGTAGGCCATGCCCACGAGAGGGAACTAGTAGGCCTTGTGTCTTCCTACTAGGCCGCTGTGTGAGTGTGTGTGGGACCAGCTTCCCATAGACTTGGACAGGCCCAGAGGGCAGCACCTTAGTGCCGTGAAATATGAACTAAGCTGGCAGACAGCATGGCTGTCTGTGCAGACAGTACAGGCTGTCTACATTCGCTCGGCCACCTACCTCGTGTCGTCCCGACGCGACAATACTGGTGGTAAAAAATACTCGGTCTCTCTCTCGTAGGAACTGGGCACAGAACACAAAATAAAAAACATATATACAGTGGACCCCCGCATACCGTTGGCCTTACATAACGTTAAATCCGCATACCGATACATTTTATCGCTAAGATTTTGCCTCGCATACCGTTAAAAAACCCGCTCAACGCTGTTCGTCCGAGACGCGTCTAATGTGCGGCCTGAGCCAGCCTCACATGTTCCGCCTGTGGCATTGTTTACCAGCCAGCCTCTGCGGTAACATCCAAGCATACAATCGGAACATTTCGTATTATTACAGTGTTTTTGGTGATTTTATCTGCAAAATAAGTGACCATGGGCCCCAAGAAAGCTTCTAGTGCCAACCCTACAGCAATAAGGGTGAGAATTACTATAGAGATGAAGAAAGAGATCATTGATAAGTATGAAAGTGGAGTGCGTGTCTCCGAGCTGGCCAGGTTGTATAATAAACCCCAATCAACCATCGCTACTATTGTGGGCAACAAAACGACAATCAAGGAAGCTGTTCTTGCCAAAGGTTCAACTGTTTTTGAAACAGAGATCGCAAGTGATGGAAGATGTTGAGAGCCTCTTATTGGTATGGATAAATGAAAAACAGATAGCAGGAGATAGCATCTCTCAAGTGTAAAGTAAAAGGACACAAGTGCAACTAATGTGACATTTATTGTGGCAACGTTTCGCTCTCCAGGAGCTTTATCAAGCCATTACAAACAATACATGGACACAGAGGGTATATAAAGGCTCAGAGTGAGGTGAATACTAGTGAGGTACCATTTCGATGTTCACTAGTGGTAGTAGTAGTGGTAGTGACAAAAGTAATACAATATGGTAGAGCAATTAATTCGTACATGAGTAAAAGGATATAAAAGCTATTACTTGGGTAACATAAAAATAGGTGGACAAATATAAACTGGAATGAGGCAGCTTGTTTCAGTGTTCACTCTCTGTGCTTTGTGTAGTATAACAGGAGAGACTATGTGAAGGCAGGGTTTACTGTTTTCAGGAGGATTCTTGCTAAGACTTCGGAGATGGTGAAGCTGCCGTTGTTTTGTTGTAATTGTATTCGAAACAGCGATCAGTGCTGATTCAAGGCACTTGCGTGTCCCGGAAATTAGTTTCTTTTATCACTAATTGGGCGTCTCGAATTTCAAAAGATGATTGGTGGAATTTCGGTGTTGTACACAGGCGTTGTTTAAGTTGTCGTTCCTACTGCGTAGGTGTGTTCACTGAGGGGGTGTCGAGGTTTTTCTTGCTGTTTCACCTACGTAGATCTTGTCACAGCCTCCACAGGGTATAGTGTAAACTCCTGCATTGACTGGTTCGTGGTGCTTGGGTTTTGTCCTGGTTAGATCCTTTATTGAAGTGGTAGAAGCGATGGCGACTCTGGTGTTAGCTTGTGAAAGTACTTTTGAGACGTTTAGTGCAACCTGGCTTTTGGGGAAAAGAATTATAACTTTGTTGGGAGCGGTGTTGATGCGTGGAGAATTGATGATTTTGAAGAGCTCTTTCTTGCAGTCTTTGATGAAAAAAAAAAGGAAATTGTAACTCAGTGAATGTTTGGTGAATGTAAGTACATTCCTCGTCAAGAAACTCAGGGGCTACAAAATTCGGTATGCTCTAGGAAAAACCCGATGATGATGCCTCTTTTGGTCTTGGTATCTTGACTGGAATAGAAGTGTGTGAGATCATTTTTATTGGTGGGTTTTCCCATAACTTGAAAATTTTTAGGTTGTTGTCTACTTTGTGAATGAGGACGTCGAGAAAAAGGGAGCTTGTCATTGGACTCTTTTTCTAGTGTAAAATGAATCGCTGGTTCAACTGCGTTGAGCCTTGCCTGAAGATCCCGTACATCAAACGTTTTTGGGGTTATTACGAGGACATCGTCCACGTAACGTAACCAAGTGACGCTTGAAGGGATGATGTTGGCGAAGTGTTCGGACTCTAGGTGTTCCATGTATAAGTTGGCTAGGACGGCACTTATTGGGACCCCATCCCATGCCGTAGGTTTGTTTGTAGAGCTTGTTATTGAAGGAAAAACAGTTGAAGTTAACACAGAGTTCAATCAAGTCAACAAAATCTCCGGGAGGTAAAGGAAGATTAAGGTCCTGGTTGACTTTACGTCGTAGAACCTCGATGGCTTTTTTTGGTAGGTACTTTTGTGAAGAGGGGAAGTCACATCCAAACTGCTTAGTTTTTTTGTTACGGATGGAGAGGTTATGGATGCGGTTGAGAAAGGGCGCCTGAGTGTTTAAGATGAGCGGGGCTGATGGTCCCCCGAAGGCAGGAAAGATGTTGGCAAGAACTCCGGCTAGTTTGTGTGGAGCACCCGCCTATTCCTGACGTGATTGGTCTGAGAGGAATATTGTGTTTTGGGTCTTGGGTAAACCATACATGTGTGCTGGTTAGGGTTGCTTGGTAACAGTACAGAAGTTTCTTCCCTTCTCTAGTGCGTTTGAGTATTTGTCTGGTTTTGTATAGAAAGTCTTTGGTGAGCGTCTCCCACTGCTTGAGTGCTGATGGGTTATATTAGATTGATCATTCAAAAGGTCCATCATCTAGTGTTGTGTCACTGGTGTTGAGTATGACGCTCCACCTCCTTTGTCGCGTGGTGTCGATAATGTTGGGGTCTTGCGAAGGTCCTTAAGGGCAGTGATGTATCTTCTGAATTAGAAGAGGTTCCATAAAGCTGCAGTGAGAAGGCCCTGTATATAACCCTTCTGGAAGTTGCTGTCACTGTGTCTATGGTTTCCTGAACAAGATTGAGTTGATGTTAGGTTGCGTATGTGGTGGTAAATTTGAGCCAGACTCAGTGACTTGTTTCTCGTTAGTCGGTTAAGGTGCGTGACGATAAGTTGTTTATCAGGATTCGCGTCCCATTCCTTCCATCTTCAAAAAGTACCTACCAAAAAGCCATCGAGTTTCTACGACGTAAAGTCAACCAGACCTAATCTTCCTTTACCTCCGAGATTTTGTTGACTTGATGAACTCTGTGTAACTTCAACTGTTTTTCCTCAATAACAAGCTCTACAAAACAAACCTACGGCATGGGAATGGGGGTCCCCAATAAGTGCCGTCCTAGCCAACTTATACATGGAACACACCTAGAGTCCGAACACTTCGCCAAATCATCCCTTCAAGCGTCACTTGGTTACGTTACGTGGACGATGTCCCTCGTAATAACTCCAAAACGTTTTGATGTACGGGATCTTCAGGCA